ATCTCAAGTGGAATGAAGTGTGACAAAAACTCATTGCTTGTGGCAGAATATCATCGGAACATCTCGCCTTCGGTCTTCCTGTAATTCGTACTGGATGTTCGTGGCCGCCATATATGTAGTTATCATTTGGCTTCAACGTCCATCCAAACATTTCATATGGCCGGCCCATTGCTACTTTAACTTAGCCACTCACAGATTATATCCATAACACCAGTGCGTTTAACAACTCCTCCGGAATAACAACCAATTGCATATAAATGCATACAAAATGCAATGGTTTAACAAAATCATAGTAATCATTAAATATGACAACTATACTACTCATTTGTCAAAAAATAATTTAACGAAAAACAAAATACCCGACATAGTAAAATTATTTTTTTTTTTTTATATAACATGAAAAATTTACCTAAATATAAACTAAAAATTTTAGCAATCATTCAAATTTTACCAATATACTATGTAACTATGAGTCGTTCTGTTCTGCATTAGAATTTATGATTTGTTTTATGTGTTTTTCGATTATAAAACTATTTCAATTGTGTAGTTATTAAGTATTACTTAACAGAATTCTAAACTTATGGGCTTGTTTCTTTCTTTTTAGTCTTTATTTAAGATAATTCCTTCATGTATTTTTTAAAATTAGTTTTTACGCAGTCAGGTTTTTTGTTTTTATTTAAATTATTTATTTTTATTTTATACTTTTTAGTTATCTATCGAGTTCATCTATCGAGCGTGGTGGTAAACTTTTTTTTACTCAGCGACTTGGCGGTGAATAAAAGTTTTTTTTTTTTTACCAAAAATACGATATATGTTCTTCGTGCTTTTTCACTGTTTTATTTTCTTTGTTTTTATATCGTTTATATTTTAAATAAAAACTTAAGTCAATAAGTAAGAAAATTAGCGAGGGCGATTGTTTTGTTAAACAACTTTAAATCGTTATATATCCTAAACTATTATTTAAATGAAAAATTATAAAAGGAACCTAAAGATGGTTTTAAAATACCTATTCAACAACACCCCACTTGACATACATAGTTCATCAATTTTTTTTCATTCTGGCAATATGGCGTCTGGTTGTCTCTGTGGTGAATTTTGATTACTGTCATATCTTAAGTGACACTCGCAAGGTTAAGACGAATCGATTGACGTAAGAATCATCAAAATCTGCCTACGCATTTGGTCTCTAGAACGCCACATAGAAACAAACATACATACATACATAGACTGATAAACACATTACCTTCCTTTGCGTCGCACAGTCGGGTAAAAATAAGAACCTATTTTTACACTATTGTACTCTTAACTGTGTTTGTTTTATATGATTTTCTTTAATACATCAAAGGGAATAGCCTTAATTTAATTAAAACAAAGATTCTAATTCTGGCTTTTCTTGGAAAATTAAAATTTATAAAGCAAAATAGTCGGCGCGAATTCTCACAGTTTCCAAACTTGCCGCATACAGCATGTCTTGATGAAAATATTCAGACATACCTTCAACATTTAAATGCACTGCATGATGACTTCAAAAACAGATTTCAAGATATTTTGATGATGGAAATACCACCATGGATCATACATCCATTTGATGCAACGGAAGTGTCGGATATGGTATTACAAGAGGAACTACTCGAGCTCAGCACCAATGAAGAGCTGAAGGTGCAATTTAAAAAAGGCTATCAAAGATTTTGGCTGCAGGCTGAAATGCCCGAAAAATATCCAGGGCTGTGGGAAATCACGGGAAAACTTTTGATAGCGTTTCCCTCGTCATACCTTGTCGAAAAAAGTTTGAGTGTCGTTACAAACCTATTAACAAAAAAAAAGTAGATTAAACATTACAGAACGGGGAGATTCGCGGTCAATCCTTACAAAACTGAAGCCAAATATTGATAATTTGCTGTCTATCCATCAAGTACATCCCTCCCATTAGAATTATGGGTATTTTTTAATATTAATTTGCATTGTTGAAGTTACGTAACGTTATTAGTGTTTCATTTTAATTCTATTAAGTCTATTATCATTATTATATCAATAAATAGATTACAAGAAAAAATACTATTTTTTATTTATTTTTACCACTCCGAATTTAGGGTTGGAACTCTACCGTACGCCAATTTCCATCGTTAGATCTTCACATTTTGGACGAATTTTGGGAATATGGAAAAAATGTAGCAGGAAGGGGTCCACCGAAACCAGTAATATTTTTAAAATGGTCTACGAGAAAAAATTGTTTGGGAACCTCTGGACAAGAGACTCCAGTGTAACTTAAGTCATTTATACAATTTCTAATAAGTGATTTAAGAATATTCCTCCTTTTCATTTTAGGTCAAAATTATAGTTTAAATCTACATATATATTTCTATTTATTCTGGTTTTGCTAGATAACAATTGCTATTAACCCTTAACACCCCTCGCGGGGGACTAAGGTCCCGCACGAGTGTAGTTAAGTAAGTATTTTTGTTGATAATAATCTTTATATCTGCATTTTTTTATTTTCTGGTACAGTATGAATAAGAAGTTAAATTCCCATCAGATAGAAAGGCTACTAAATGACATTGAACTCGATGAGGGTAGATAGGGATAGGGAAGAATATTTTTTCTGAGATATTATCTGATTTGAACGATGCAGAGAATGAAGTCAATGATCAAGACACGGAAAACCATGAAGAAACTGATAGTGTATTGGAAAATGAAGAAATAGAAAATATCAAACAGCATAATAAAAAAGCAAATGTATTCTATGACAAAAATAGATACAACTGGCAAAAACACCGCCTTCGAAGTTGTTCGAACTCTTAACATAATTGTGCATTTATCTGGCCTAAGAGGACCTTGCCGAAAAGGTAAAAAAAAGTAAAAATAATGACCCCAAAAAGTGGGGACTTGGCTATTCCACGAGTGTAGACATGTAGGCTGAAAATACCGAGTGGTGTTAAGGATTAATAAATTGATTATAAAGGGTTTAGCCGGATACGTATGACGAGTCGGCCCCCAAATGGGAATCGATATTGAAACTTATGTTTTAATATCGACTTGATGTTCAAACACGATTTATGTACTTTTCGCGACCGACTTCCGCTTTGACCTTGAGATAGAGAGCAAAATATCCGTATGCTTGACTATTACTGAATGTGATATATCTCTAAAGCTAATTAAGATAAAGAAGTGAAACTAACGCGAGGTGTTAGGTTACATTACAGAGTATATCACATATATTTTTTTATAATTTTTAGAATAAAAAATTACATTAAAAAAATAAAAAATAAAAAAATCATGTTTTTTTTTCTGAGTTCTCTGTGACTTACAATCACGAAATTAATATATGTTATGCTCCTTTATGTGCTCTATTACCCATAAAAATTACGTGAAAAAAAAGTTGGTGCAACACAACGAAAAAAAATTATATGTGATTTCTGTCTTATGGTATACCCCTGTATTATAAGGTTTTCACATTACATCATTGTTTTTTTTTCGAAATTTCACATCAGCTTGTTTTAAAACATAAGTAACTAGTCTTAAGATATGGGATAATAGTTAAAAAAGAAATGAAAAAAAAAACAGCCAGTGTTCAATACTTATTATTATTACTTTTTCGTGTCTATCAAAATACAAGAAACAAAATATTAATCATCGTCACTGTTGTAATTAATTACAATCGGAACACTTTGAGTCGCAAATAACTTAGTTAGGACCCCAGCAGGACGTACGATTTTGGTCAAATATCATCCATATGATAGATAATAAATAATAGCTGCTACATGAGAACAGCATCCCACTGTACGTTTGCCATTGGGGCAATCACAGCAATAACGAAGAATACTATTGTAGTCATTACCTTCGGAAATATAGTGAATGTAAATTCGATAGACTTTTCTATTTATATGTCTTGATTTTACTTCTGCTTTAATGATATTAGGTGCTGATTTCACATATTGTACTGAGAGATTATTTTGATCGTCCATTATTTCGGCCAAGTTAAATGCTGCACATTTAGAAGTAGAAGCTTTTTTGTTAATATATGGGATAAGTCGACACTTCTTACAAAAAATATCATTAACTATTACGATTTTATTCAAACAGTCACTAAACACTTTAGCTTCTTCTTCATTCTTTATAATTTTTTTATAACCAGGAATCTTACACAGGTACTTGTTACAATTTTTACACTTTCTCGACATTATTACTTAATAATGATTTGGTTCGATAGTTAATAATTTCAAAATGCTGATACAAAATACCTCTCGGGACTCAAATTCTGTCAGAATTTGAGTCCCAAACTGCCTTCTTGTGTAATGCAAATGACTGCTACTTTTGCTAAACAAACGATGCAGTAAACAGCTCGATAACAAGTTCGAACTTGTTTGTTTATACACTCACACTACAAGGCGCGAATCACATATAATTTTTTTTTCGTTGTGTTGCACCAACTTTTTTTTCACGCAATTTTTATGGGTGATAGAGCACATAAAGGAGCATAACATATATTAATTTCGTGATTGTAAGTCACAGAGAACTCAGAAAAAAAAACATGATTTTTTTTATTTTTATTTTTTTAATGTAATTTTTTATTCTAAAAATTATAAAAAAATATATGTGATATACTCTGTAATGTAACCTAACACCTCGCGTTAGTTTCACTTCTTTATCTTAATTAGCTTCAGAGATATATCACATTCAGTAATAGTCAAGCATACGGATATTTTGCTCTCTATCTCAAGGTCAAAGCGGAAGTCGGTCGCGAAAAGTACATAAATCGTGTTTGAACATCAAGTCGATATTAAAACATAAGTTTCAATATCGATTCCCATTTGGGGGCCGACTCGTCATACGTATCCGGCTAAACCCTTTATTCTCGTGTGAGATTAAGATAGTAAAACATTTTTTTAATCTTATCTTTTCAAAAGTAGGTGAGGAGTTTTTGTATATAAATGAGTTACATTTAATTAGCGATCAGTATAAGCTTCTGCAGTAAGCAATCAAAGTATTATAATAGCTCTAAAATAATTATACCAGTTAAACCACAAATATTGAAGGTAAGAATTTTTATAAAATTTAATGGTTTTATTCAAATTTTTTTATAACTTTAAATAATAAAAAAGCAACTATATATTTTAAACAAACTGAATATGTATTTTTTCTGCTATATTACAAAAATTAAATTTGTCGAATCGAAATTGTTTTTTTTTAGATGAAGCTGTTTGTCCTTTTGTCGGTGTTGTCGGTGGCGGCTCTAGTAGCGACGCAGCCCGCTGAATTGGACGAGTCTTCTTATGTAGAAGACCAAGACGTCTCACTCATTCCCCTCAACCGATCCAATAGACTCTTAGTCAGGTAAAACTTTTGACATTATAGTGTCAGGAAATGAAGACTCATATATGATTGAAAAGAAGAAGAATACTGCTATTCATTAAAAGAAATTTAAAATCCAGAAATTTGTAGATATTTTTATGAACATCATGAATAAAAAATGCTTTAGAAGTCCACATGCTCCAGGAATCCCGAGATGGGACTCGAACTCACAAACTTTCGCAATCTGGGCGGCTACTCTAACCATTGAGCTATTACTCACCAGGACTGACGAATATCGGGATTCTCGTGTTACTTGGGGCTGGTAGATTTTTTAAGCATTTTTATATTTTGTAATAAGTCTAAGAGAGTAGAAAAAAGTATGATATTTATTTATGTTGTTCAGGAGACAGTTCATCGCATCAGCAGCTGCTAACACAATCCGCACAGTGAATTATACGTGGCGTGGCGCCGCCGGTACTAGAATTAGCAGCTGGAGTGTGAGCCGAGTGGGCGCCGCACAGGGGGCTTCTGTCACACGGACAGGGGGCGGGGCTGGCAATAACTTCTTGTCGATTAGAATGCAGTCTGCGCGCGGCAGAGGATTCAATTACATGCTCGAAATCTGGGGCCGTTAAATAATTTAGTAGGAATATTTAATTTAATAATTTGTGACATTAATTTAATTTTTATTACGACTTATTAATTAAAAATAATACATCATATATTACTGTTTTTTTTTTTAATATTATATATAGCTTATTTATTTTAAAAGAAATGTATTGTAAATGAACGCACTTTTAATAAAAAATTACTTTACTTGATGCAGTCATATTGTGCATTTCCAAAACCGTAAGATGAAAAGTGCAATTATATGAGGCAATTTTGTCAACATAATAATTCCAAAGAATTTAACCACATCTCTCAAATCTCTCGAGACTCAAAGTTCTCTCTGCATCAAACTTCAAATAGCTGTATGTATATTAGATACGTGTTTCGTAGTACGCAGATATCTAAATACCTAAAGCCAAACCAACAACCCCTAGATAAAGTGACATTGACTTGGCAAAGACCCATGAATGTGCTTAGCAAAATATTTGGCTAGGCTGATCAAGAAAAACGGAAATAATACTTATAATAGAGATTTATTCCTCTCCACAAACTTTTTAAATTTCTAAAAAACCTAATTTTGGTTGTGGATTGCTGATGCCTGTTTTAGGTAATTGAAACCTGTTTGCACAGAATTTCAGGCACCATCAATCAGCGTTTGTAACAAAAAAAAAGTCATAAAACACAAACAAATCTACAGACAACACATTAATGAAATACAGTTAAAAGGGCGCGTAAACTATTAATCAGCGCGTAAATTTTGACAAAAAAACAACCTTTAAAATACGCAGAAACCAAAAGTGGTGTTATTATCTGATTCTAAGCAGCCCATTCCTAGTAATATTATAAATACGAATGAATGTGAGGATGTTAGAATGTGGGTTTGTTAATATTTCACGTAAAAACTAGAGAAAGGATTTCATTCAAGTTTGGTATATGGGCAATTCTAAGCCTGAATTAATATATAAAGTACTTTTTATCCCATTAAACAGTTCCCTAGGGATACAACGGATTTACTCTTAGGCGCATTTAGTACTCCTTGGCCCAAAAATATAAAGCGCTTATAGATTAAAAAGCCTGGTTTGCAGGCACAGAATTAACAGTGGCATGTAGGCCAATCTAGAACCAGACGAACGTTACAGCGGTGAGCAAATCGAGCTTTGTTTCAATCAGTTTAATTCTCAATGAGATTTCAGTCTCTGAACTTAACCAAATCATCAGAGAATATAAATAATATTTCGTCGAACTGTTTCAAACTCATATATAATGTAAATTTGTAATATTCAAAGCTGTGCCAAAAAGAATCCTCGTTTCTGCATAGCATTATTGCATAATTTTACCGTAAGTACCAAACTCTATAGAGTATAATAAATTTATTTTCTACATTTATTGGAAATGTGGTGGTCCAGGGTTCAACCAAGGAGATGGCGATAGCTTGAAAGATTTGTGCGTTGTTATGCCTAACGGTCGTCTTGAAAAACAAAAAGAATATACGATATAATAAGTTCATAATCGTACTTACCGTGAGGGGTTTTTAAAATATCGCAATAACCCCTGATCTGTAGAGCCATGGGGACGCGAGCATGTTATCCCACTCCCATTCTGTGTTCGCAGTGCGTTTTTATGACTTATTTACATTTTTGTGGTCGATTTGACCTATAATAATCTTTTATGCCTTGCTTTCCTATGTTTTGACAAAATTAATACCGTTACCAGCTGTGATGTGCCAAAGTTGTCTCTTTTAATAGAGTCTTTTTATGGCCAAAACAAGGTAATACTCTTAAAGTGTTCAAAACTGAGTTATATGATCTAATAAATAAGATTTTTATAGTTTTAAGTAATTGCTTTTCAGTCAGTAAAAATAATAACCTACATTACCTCTATACACCCACCCGACTTCAACTGTTTATTAAATTATTATATTAAAGTATTTATCACTTTTATTAATCTTTAGATGATCTTCGCAGCCAAGTAGTTTCAGTCTCAAGGTATCGCCTTGCAAGTGCTTTAATTTGAAATCTAAGCATCGTTTGTGATGTTTCCTGATAATAATATTTTTTAAAGTCGGATTTAGTTCTATAAGATAAAAAGATATACAATTAATTTTCAAATAAATATGCTAACAAATAAAAAAGTTGAATGTTGCCATCAAATATAGTTTTATTGTAAAACTAGCTGTGCCCGCTACTTCGTCTGCGTGGGAAATTATATCAGGAGAATTTTTTCTTTCCTATGGTTGGGATCGAATTGAGTAGGATCAATGGTACAATGGGAATTGGTGGGTGTTAATGACTACTGATGCAGCCGGGACTAATGTCTTAACTTCCACTCCGAAGCACGGAGGAGCTCAATATAATAATGTTTTAGTCTTCCACCCTATGGACAACCCTTACGATAGTTATTTCTCTATATTTTTTCTCACTTCTCTCTCTGCTCTTGTATCTGGCCATTTTTATCGTATCTCTCGTATTAGTGATTCTTACGCTGTTTCAACAGTTCTTCTTTTGATTTTGATCTTTTAAAAATGTTATTTGTTTATCTGTCTAGTTGTATGCGCAATCTATTATTTTTGGTCATGTTTTTCCATCCAATGCTAAATTGCCTAAAAGAAATCACTGGTTAGCGCTAAGTTTATCTTTAGTATATAGTTATGAATGTTATGTATGAAAAATATATGATTGTCGTGTCATTTTCTTGTTGTGCATTAAAGATTTTGTTTACTTACTTTAACAGTTTTGGAAGTTTGACTTTTTTTCAGGACGTTCTTACAATTTATTTACTATTATTTTGCGAAAGTATCTGCTGAGACATGAACTTAACTTTTTTTTTAATGTCGAGGAAATACTTCTGACTCTGTTCCTGTTACCCGGCAAGTAACAGGGGACGAGTAGGACTCTTTTCCGTGGACCCACCTAGCCGCAGCCGAGTCACCAGAACACTCAAGTATTGGACTTTTGGTCTCATCGCAGATGGAGTGGCTGGAGGATGGACTGGGTCCATCGAGGGCCTCTCACAGAGAGATGAGGCCCTACAACTGGTGGTGGAGTGGAGGTGGCTGCCAATCACCTCCGCTAGCCTCGAAGACGTTAACCTAACCTGATAAAATTTACTAATAAAACCTTATACTACGTGCGTTCATTGTAAACTACTCGATGCTTAATTGCAGCAGCGCAACGTTCTTTTCGCTTGATCTCCAACTCGCGTGATCGTATACTACATGTCCATCATAAGCTTCAGCTTATAATACCTATATATGATCGTTCATATTTAGTATGATATGATACGATCAATCATATTTAATGTGATTGGTCATATATAATTGAAATCAACTGATATTGCAGTATCCAAAATATTGAAAACTATTTTTTTTTTATTTATATTCATACTCGTATAAATTATAATTTTACAGACAATATCAATACGTAGCTAGGTAGCGCAACGGATAAGAGCCGCTCCCGCGATTGATGTTGTTAAGCAATTTTGTATGGGTTGTTCACGGGATGGGTGACCAAAAAATTATTAAACAAAAGCCTGAGTCTCACTATATGGGGATGTATTGTAAAAAAGCTGACAATGATAAAAAAATATCAGAGACTAAAATTTAATAAAGAAATTAATACCATAGCAATTTTGGCGACCAAAGTACTTCAAATTGATATAACATTTTTATTTATGAACCGATTGAAATAAAACTTACACTTAATATTAACTGAAGGTTACCACAATATATTAGTGAAACTGCATAAAAATTGGTTCAGTATTTTCTCACATCAGCGTGCACGAACGCATCGACAAACAGACAAAAAAAAATTCGTTGTTTTGTGTTCTGTTACTTTTATATATGCCTCTCATAACAGTTTTTTTATATATCTTCAATGTACAGACATCGATCGCTTACGTTTTTATAATAGTATAGATGATATCTTTTAATTAGCTGAATAATATATCAGAAAGTTATTCTAAATTAACAGCCCCACATCATTTAGTGTAAAAATTCTATTGATCCATTTTTTGTATAAAAATACAAAACAAACTTGATTGAAAAGCATATGTGTCTCAAATATTCTATTCCTATGTCATTTCGAAACTCACTTCACTTATGCCATGAAGCGTCATTTACCAATTCATGGTTGAGTGTATGCCACTTTTTGAAGTAAATTCGGCCACCTGAGTGAATTCAAATTCTGGTTTGGATGTTTACAGAATCGCAGGGCAGATCTTCTAAGTAAGAAGACTCCAAATCAACAGGCTTCGCCGCTACTAAAACCGCCAACGATTACACCGATAATATGATAAACAATTTCATCTAAAGGAAAACAATATTTTTTAATTATAAATTCACATTTCATTTGAATTAATAAACACTTTAATTCGGTTACTTACTAGATAAGATTATAAAATGTTTTGTATATCTTAATCTCTAATTTATTAGTACCTAATACATTTATGATCAAATTTGTGTTTATTTATGCTAACTAAACGAAACAAGGAAACAATAATTTAAAGCTTGAAATCCGTGAAGTAGAAATAGAAAAAATAAATCAACTGAATATAAGTAGTTTTCATTGTTGTCATATATCTATAATTTACTTTTGTAGAATATTGTTCGACTTCAATGCATATTTCAGAGGAAGTATTTTATTAGATTTGAGCAGTGTTGCCATTTTTTTGCACTTTCGGTGCTATATCTGCCACTATTTATAAGGTTAACACCGAATTTGACTTTAGCTCCTAGCACAAAAGCTCACAGTTAGATTTTATAGGTAAGGTCAAAGAAAATGTAATGCAAAGAGGTTTAAAGATGACTAGAAAAACGAACGACATCTCTATGTTAACAAATAAATTTGATATGGATATTTCAGTCTTTCATTATGCCACGCCCGATCCTTCATTAAAAAAAATCCGGTCCAAAAGATTCTGATACTGAAATTTAATGGCCTTAGTTATGTTATAATTTTGTAATAAAAAACTAGATACGTAAGTTTTTTTGTTTATGTTTTTGGTTAAGTGAAAAATTGTTTTTTTCACTTAGCACTATAATTTGGATATCCCTAGCAATCGAGCACTTTTTGAAATGACATCTATCACTGACTGTTCGATTTGGCAACACTGGTTTGTTAATTAATTAATTGATTATTGATCAAAGATGCTAGACTACATAAAGTAAAGATCGCTAAAACATTTTAAATTGTTAATTACATTATTAATAACATTTTTAATTACAGAGATTTTAATTGCAATGGCATTAATGATGTTACAACTCCGTTTATGTATATTTTTTGTTTGTAGTCTTAAAAAAAATCTTACTATTTTGTTGGAATAAAGAAAACGCATGAATACAACGTTGTTGATAAATGTTTCGTACTACCATTCATTTTATAAATAAATATACACATATCTTTGAAAACATAGGTATTATAATTCTCTGAGAGTCTGTCAACCTTCTTTGTAAGTGTAGGATCTCACTTTTATTACGTATTTTGATATTTCTCACTTTCAAAAGATATGAAGAAGAAGCATTTAAAATTAAATATAAATAGCATTATTTCCTGTTGATATCGATAGCAATTTAATACGAGATAAAAATAACGATTTGTGTGGTGCTATCAGAGAAACCTTTTTGTATTATTGTCGGGACATTTTTGGTATCATATAATACATCAAAGATAACTTTATATTGCTAATTATGAGAATATGATTCAACTATAATGAATGATGTAGGTTAGATTATTTGATAACCGTTTAAAATAAAATAATAACACGGTTGTAACATTCAGATTGCATCTAATGAAAGATTTAAGCATAGGGGCTAACGGTGAATGTGAAGATGCTGATTTGGCATTATTCGTAGGGAAAAAGTACCCATAGTATTAAAAATTAGAAACCAACCACATTTTTATGGTTAATCTTACTGAAACACGATAGTTATTGTAAAAAAATTGTTGCCCCTGGCGCGTCTGCTTTCCATTTCGTGAATATACTTCAAACAACACCGGAAATTTTATAAATAATATGATTTAATCATCAGCAGATAATTTATTTATTTAATTTATAAATATGAATTGTCACAAAACACAACAAAATTTGTCAGACACTAAACCACTATTCCACTGGCGCATTACTAAATTTCACGTCGTGGCACGAACGCTTGTAGAACTCTAAACATTCGTAGGATTTTTTCTCAACGAAAATATTTTATTCCCCTAGTTTTGTTTCACTTAGTCGTTGATTACTCTGACTTCTAAGCGTCGAAGGGTAAAAAAAATATTTATTAAAAATAAAATATTAAAAAAAACGAAAGCACTAAAAAAGTACCTGCACTAGATGGCCACTCAAGCAAAAGTTGATTTTTGCAAGAAACGAATGGACCACAGATAGTCATTTCCGTTCCTTTTAACTAACATATTAAAAAACTGAAATTTGAAAAGTTCGAAAACTCAGATATAAATACAAATACGAAAAAGTATAAACAGAATATGAGTTGTTTATTGTGTTTCCAAAACTTATTTACTTTTAAACATGAAAGAAAACCGGAAGGGTTTTAGAATATTGAAGACAGTTTAAAATAATAAAGGTTTTACTCAGTTGAACTCCTACAAAGCGACAGCGGTCAACGCTTTTTTAAAGAATAGCAATGTTGCAATGTGTTTATTATTTGTTTGTAAGAATAGCAATGTTTTAATGAAATCATGATTGCGGGCAGTATTAATAAGGAAAAGACATTTAAAAAAATATTTTATAATCTTATCAGACTTGACAATGTTTAGTATAAAAGAGCGTTTCAATTCTCCGAACATAATTTTAACTAAAATTAACAGCTAAAGTATTGTTTTTCGTTAGCACGTGACGGTGTACCCAATAAAGGTAAAAATAATATATTGTAAAAATATGTCATTAATATTTTCTTGTGATTAAATGAGTTTAAAAATAATAATATCTATAAACATTTTTTTATGTTCATTTTATTAATATCTACTTCTAATATCAAAAATCCTCGATTATATGAATGTCAACCTGCTGAATGTAAAAACAACAAAATTCTGTGAATTTGTTTCTTCACTCAAACTGTAGAATTTTATAAACATTTAATAATAAATTATAGTTGTCTATTAATAAAGTTGTAACAAATATCTACATTTTATTTAAATATAAATTAAATATACCTAATATAAACTAATAAATTTATTGACTAATAAAATGCTTTCGCACTTTTTAGTTTCTTTTACTTGAATTTTTTTGAGTGTGTTTCAAGTATATTAAGATGATAAATACGTATATAAGTACGAGTTCCTACATTGTGATATAAGCAAAAGTAATGTTTCAGATGAAATTGTTTGTCCTATTATCGGTGTTGTCGGTGGCGGCTCTGGTAGCGGCGCAGCCCGCTGAATTGGACGAGTCTTCTTACGTAGAAGACCAGGATGTCTCGCTCATTCCCCTCGAGCGATCCAATAGACTCCTAGTCAGGTAAAACTTTTGACGTTATAGTGTAAAGAAATGAAGACACTTTAATATGTGATTGAAAAGAAGAAGACTGCTATGCATTAAAAGAAATTGATTTATGAACATCTTTAATAAAAAATGCTTAAACTCCACACGCCCCAGGAATCCCGTGATGGGACTCGAACTCACTGCCTTTGGCAATCTGGGTGGCTACTCTAAGCATTGAGCTTACTCAACCAGACTAACGAATGTGGGGATTCTCGTGTTACCTGGGACTGGTGGATTTTTAAGCATTTTTATGGTTTGTAATAAGTCTAAGAGAGTAGAAAAAAGTATGATATTTATTTATGTGGTTCAGGAGACAGTTTATCGCGTCAGCAGCTGCTAACACAATCCGCACAGTAAATTATACGTGGCGTGGCGCCGCCGGCACTAGGATCAGCAGCTGGAGCGTAAGCCGAGTGGGCGCCGCACAAGGGGCTTCTGTCACGCGGACAGGGGGCGGGGTTGGCAGTAACTTCTTGTCGATTAGAATGCAGTCTGCGCGCGGCAGAGGATTCAATTACATGCTCGAAATCTGGGGCCGTTAAATAATTTAGTTAGAATATTTAATTTAATATTTTGTGACATTAATTATATAAGTAATTTTTATTACGACTTATTAATAAAAATAATACATCATATATTACTGTTTTTTTTTCTTAATATTATATATAGCTTATTTATTTTAAAAGCAATGTATTGTAAATGAACGCACTTTTAATAAAAAATTACTTTACCTGATGCAGTCATATTGTGCATTTCCAAAACCGTAAGATGAAAAGTGCAATTTTATGAGGCAATTTTGTCAACATAATAATTCCAAAGAATTTAACCACATCTCTCAAATCTCTCGAGACTCAAAGTTCTCTCTGCATCAAACTTCAAATAGCTGTCTAATTTAATTAGAATGCAGTCCGCGCGCGGCAGGGAATTTAATTACATGCTCGAAATCTGGGGCCATTAAATAATTAAGTAGGAATATTTTATTTAATAATTTGTGATATAAGTGATTTTTATTACGACTTATAAATTAAAAATAATACATCATAAATTATTGATTTATTCTTTCTTAATATTTTATTTAGCTTATTTATTTTAAAAACAATATATTGAAAAAAAACGCACTTTTAATAAAAAAAAACTATACTTGATTCAGTTATATTATGCCTAAGGCATCAAAGTAACCATGTCCAAAACCGTAAGACAAAAAGTGCAATATTATGAGGTAAGTGCAAAAGTACAATCAGGGGTCGTTAAGACGTTATGACATATTAATAGGAAATATTGATTTTTCTGCTTGTCATTTCACTCATTAAATTACAATCAACACATTTGTTTTTGTATATTAATGAATTATATAGTCAAAAGAACTTTTAAAGCTTCCACAGCTATTTTTTGGATTCAATAAATGTTTTTTTTATTTGGGCGTAAGTAATTTCCTTTATAAATAGTCTATGAAGAATATAATGTTTAAATTTAATTTTATTCAAAAATTATTGATATTCCGCCCCAAATTTGACCAAATACTGCCAAAACCACCAATCTAATAGTTGATATCTAATTTGAAAATTATTATTATGTATAGGTATTTTCTTTGATTCGTTATTTCGAGAACAAGTTAATATATTTATGTAAACAGTAACAAGTTAGTACTAACTCACATTAGTATTTAATTAAATTTGGTTAATATATCGTACCTACACATGTTTATTTGGGCGTAAATTAAAAATCTCGCGAATGTTGTGATTGCACAGCAGACGGCTACCAAATTAGAAGAGCTTCAATTGGAATATCTACGACATCCACCGTACGCCCCGAACCTTGCTCCAAAGATTACCATTTTTTTCGAAATTTGGATAACTTCTTGCAAGGGAAAAAATCAACTCCGATGGGGCAGTGCAAATCGCCTTTAAAGAATTTATTGATTCCCGTCCGAATGATTTTTTTAGTAAGGGGATCAATGAACTACCTATGAGATGGCAAAAGTGCAAAGATAACAATGGTTTATACTTGATGAAATAAATATAGTATATTAAAAAATATTCGACTTTTTGTTGATGCCATACCCACCACCAATTTCATATGTAAGGACCTAATATATTGTAATGGGGGCAAAACATTATATTTAAAGTTATTAAACGGCGATTTGTGATTTTATCTAAATCGACTCTTCGACACTGACTGAGCTTTCGACTACCGACTATAAGTTGTGAACATCAATTCATAATGTCAATTAAGAGATTGCTCATAATAACTCGGTTCTATATTTCTCTCAGTTTAATTTATATATGCATATTTGTTCTGTTTTATTGAATAAATAAAATAAATTTAAGTCTTCTTTAGAATGAATTTTTAATTTCCGCTAATATAGCTCCCAATAATTAATGTTATTTGAAGTTATAGTAGTTTTAAGTTAAATACTCAAAATGGGCATAAGTTAGACGACATAAATTTGGGAACCCCTGATCTAGTCTATGGTTCCATTGCTAATCTAACTTTTACTTGATGTTCTTTTTGTTTAGTCGAAATATCTTCTGGCACTTCAGTACCTTTATGTGTATTTCTCTTAATTTCTTCTTCATAAAATTTACAATCCGCGCACTTATTGCCTTTTGGCATCTTTCTTTTAATTGTTTGTCGATAAACTTCTACACTACAGCGAAAATCTTTACCTTTACTACTACTATAAACTTAGTTAGCAAAACTTAGTAACTCAATATTTTAATGTCTTACGAAAACCACAAAATATTGTTTCTAAACATTTATTCACTTCATAACCCAGTAACTAGATTTGACCATTTTAAAAACCTAGTATGTGCTAACACATACTAGAGTTTTGAAATAGTTAAAGATTCATACTAGGTTTTATAATGGTTAAAACTTAACTTTTCATAAATTTAGAAGCACAAAAAATAATAAATAAATACCTATGTTTTTATATGTATCGTGTTTCCATACATATACATATATTTAGTTAAATGCGGTTATTTTAATATTACAAAGAGACACTTCAATTTTATTTGTGTGTTGATCTATCAACTGATATTACCCTAATTCAAAACATTATCTTTCGTTTTCACTAACCTAGAACAAGGCAAAGCTTAACAAGGAAACGCCTAATATATCGAATATCCTAAGTAGATAAATCTAATTCCAAACAAATCTTTTTTCTTTTTATCCCTTTTTAGTGGTAGAGAGATGATGTTAACCGTACCACTAAATCTTGTATAAATATGTAGGGTTGAAAATGATTGTTCAACTTACGTGATAAAATATAATGTTTATTAACAACGTCCACATAAACAGTTTATACATATAATACAGAAGTAAGGAAGGAAAAGTTCAAGCACAAACAGTTAATACACATGCAATAGGAAACAGACAAGCAATAACACTATAATATTAAAAGCAAAAGGCAGAATAAATATTACATGCACTCCGCGTTGTAGTTCGAATGACAGTCCTTTTTCGCATCTCTCTGGGCACGCATGCGCGCGGCGCGGCGTCTCGCTGGTCGCGCATGCGTGCTTATTACTCGCTAGTGAGTACGCATATCGATATTAAATAGTTGTAGATAATGTAGATAATTATGTTTTAGATATAGTGAATGAATATTGAAAATAAATATAAAATAAGAAATGTGTATATATAAATAGTTAGTAGTAAATTAGAAAGTAGCCTACACCTTGACAAATTCATGATTTGTCATTTAGGCAAATGCCTAGCACAAGGCACCGTATAATTAATAAAATAACTTTAGACATTGCTTAATTTCGTTAGGTAGTTTCTAATTAATGGTGAAATGCATTTTTACCTTAGGCGATTCCCAAATATTTAGGCGACAGATTTGGGCGATTCCTAAGTGTAGTGAAAACGGTCATAAATCATATTTCCTTAAAAGTTTTCTTTCTTTTTAAGTTTTAATATTTAAAGTGTGTTTATAGATAAATTCCAAGCTATTGAAAAAGACATGGTTTATGCGACCCGATACCAAGTTTTTCTATCATATTATATGTCGCATCATCTTTACGAAGATCGTTTGATTTAGTTTCTTTTATTTTAATTGCTAGTTACTCGATTACTTTATTACTCGATTGTAGAGAGAGCGTGATCATCGATACTTTAAATTTTATTAGAATCGTAACACTGACTTTGACAGTTCGTTAACGAAAAGCAAGTTGCCGCCTTTTTGGCACGCATTCTGTTTCCGATCGCCGAGGAAAAAAGACATCCGACGACATCACGCTCATCTCGTTATATTTCGTATGAAAAGTTATAAAATGGAACAAATCCACGTTTGTATACGCTCCTGCAGTCCGTCCACGTCCATCCCACACAGAGTTCTTATGATGCTCTCTAGGTTATCCTCGCGCCCGACGACGCCCCTGCCACGGCTCTTCTTACTAATAGCTAATTTGTTATTCGATTCCCAGTTTTAGATTTCATGTAAGGAAAGCTACTTCTGATTTCTGTACCCCCTTTCTTATCAGGGGTCTGGACTAAAGCAACAAGAACTTAGCTATTCCTCGATTTATTGAAAGCGTTTCATACCGTTTCGATCACAGATTTTTTTATATATGAACGGTCCTATTGCTTTTAGCCAAGCTCAAGAAGTATGGAGTAGAGGTCGATATGGATACCAACTTTCATTGTACTCCTGCCACCTAACTCTCTATGTCAAATAACATTTTAGTTCTGGATATTCTAAATTCTTTCTTGTTACAGGGTAATTTGTGGTGAAATCCTACTCCTATTCATTATTAATTAATATTTAAAATATTTACATTAGTTAAGGATTTTCTCCGAAAAAAATATATTTTTAATCGTTAAACTTAGCACCAATTTTAAACGCTTAATTGTAACAAACTAAGCTAATCAGTTATAAAACCGTTGTCTAATAATATGTCACAATAAATATATTATGCAAATTCGATGGCTAAATGAAATGCTATATTTGTTGCACAGGGGTTATGAGTACGAGTAGGTATATCTTAACTTTCTAATGGTTGGTCTAGTGTTTTAAATTTTTCAATGATTATTCATGTTTTTGTAAATGATATTGTCATGTGAAATCTTTTGTATCTTCTTTTCCTACCAGCCTCCCACTGTAATAGCTGCTGAGGTTTTAGACTACCTGAAATGACCCAAGACCAATATACGTTTGTGTACCAAATAACTTTACTCTTAGTTTTCTTTTTTACTCATTTTAGAAACAAGGATTAGGGAGATATTCTGGATACGTCATGTTTTATTCAACATGAATAAGTGGATATTGTCTTGCGAGTCACATCTTTGAAGAAAATTAAATTTAACAGGTCGGCCTTCTTTCTAAATAGCAGTTTAGTCCAAAAAAATTTCTACTTTTTAAAGTATTGCCAATGACCCATAATGCAATAACACAGCTAATATAGCTGACCGATGTACAACTGGCAAGGGGTTAAATAACGGTTAACTTGCCGTTCACCGTTATTTAACGTTTTCCTGGTCAATCAGATCGATAGAGGTAGTAAGAAGAGGTAATAGGATGATCTACGCGCAAGTTCCAAACGTTGTATTTTACAATTAACCATTATCAAAACGAGTCTGATAATACATTTCAATAATATATTCAGTAATCGTCGGAATTGGAACGCATGGTCTGTGCAATCGAGTCAATAACAATGTACTTATATGGGTTTTGCTGTAAAGATATGATTTTTTTTTATCTTGATTCTACAGTTTACTTTTTCTATCATTCCACAAAAGCATTTTATTCAAATATTTAAAATATGCATATTATTGATAAATAAAATTTTTCATTGCGCTGATAGTACTCGTCGTCACAAACAAATGAATAATACAGAAAGATTAGGAATAATTGCGACATGGTGATCGAGTGTGACTTAAGACTACGCATTAAGACAAAGAAAAAATCATAATAAATCTACGGGCTAGTCAATCTATACTATAATAAAAACGTAACCGATCGATGTCTGTACATTGAAGATATATGAAAAAAAATATAATGAGGGACATTTATGAGAGTAATAGAACACAAAACAATTTTTTTTTGTCTGATTGGCTGTTTGTCTGTGCGCTTGTGCTCGATAATCTCAGAAACGGCTGAACCGATTTAAATTTTCGTTTTTGATATATTGATCATCATCATTAACTCTTTCACAGCCAAACTGCAGGGCCTCAGGCCTTTGTTTAATAATTTTTGGTCACCCAACCCGTAAACGACTCTTGCGAAAATTGTTTGGCAATAGCGATCGTGCGCAGCGGCGCATATCCGTAGCGCCACTGAGCTACGAATTAATATTGTCTATAAAATGCTAATTTGTATGATGACAAATAAAAAATAAGATTCCAAAATTTTTACAACTCCGAAGTAAGTTGACCTCATTTATAATATGTATATGGCCATCATATTAAATAGGGTTCAGCTTATAATGGACATGTGGTATACGATCCTGCGAGTAGGAGAACAACCGGAAAGAGCTTTCTGATGATGCAATTAAGCCTTGAGTAGTTTACAGTGAACGCATATTTTTATCAGATTAGGTTCACGTCGTCGTCGGGGCCAGTGGAGGTGGTTGGCAGCCGCTCCCGCATTACACGGTTTCGTCTGTCTGGGAGAGGCACTCGATTTACCCGAGTCTCTCCAATTTTCCATCTGCAAGGAGACCAATGGTCCAATACTTGAGTGTCCTAGTGACTCGACCATAGCTTGCCGGTTTTCATTTCCCATGAGAAGGTGTAGAGTACGGGTTTTGGTGGGTAGGCCTCTGGGGACCCACCGGGCAGCTCACTGTCGGGTTCAAGGAGGAGAATCCTACTCACCCCTGTTGCTTGCCAGGTAACAGAGACAATGTCAGAAGTTTTTCCACGACGTTAAAAAACTTAGATTCACGTCAACTGCTTATTGCTATTTTTTATGTTACTACTCTTTTTATTTTATTTTTTAACATACAAATTGCTATAGATACGTACTTCAAAGTTGGTATTTTCAGTCTTCGCTAGAAACAATGCTTTATTCATTGGTCACACACAACACTCATATAATATTACGCGAGTCTGAGGGTCGGTTCAGAGTAGCTCGGTGGCGTAGTGAATAAGCGCCATGGCCCGCGATTGTTGTTGTTAAGCAACTTTCGCAAAGGTCGGGCACAGAATAGATGACCAAAAAATATTATCTCAAGCAACTCCAAGCTTCGGAAAGCACGTAAAGCGATTGGTGCCGGTTGTATTTGCAGTCGTTAATATCTTCCAATCCACATTGGGCCCGCATGGAGCGTCGTGACCCATACTCTTAAACCATCCATAAGGAAGGCCTGTGCTTCTGCAGTTTGTGACGTAAATGGGCTGATAATGATAATGATGAGGGCCATTCAAATCTGACAGAAGCTCAGTTAAGCACCTCACGGAAGTATGTTTGTAGACGATTTCCTTCGAGTGTGGAAAGTCGAAATTAAAATATGTATATATTTTTTTATAACAATAAATAAAACTCCAAATATCTTCCGTCAGTACATGTACCGACCGACTTTTATTGACAAAGAAAGTGATCGGACCGAAAGCGCTTGGTCTGAGGAGACACCTGAAAAACGTGAAGCGTATATAACTGCCCATCGCGAGGCTCATGCACTATAAAGTTGAATCTGAAGCATTTACATACAAGCAGTATAGTATGAGTATGAAACTTATTTTGATAGAGAAATGCGCTTGGTCTCTTAAAGAGCTCGCAGTTTGCACAATAGAGATCGAGAAAGTAGTTTCGATTATCCGTGTTGACTTCATACTCCACAGGCGTACCGCAGATAAGTTTTCACAGGGTATAATGAACTAGCTATTTTCCCACGACTTTGTCGCAAAATTATAGCCTATGACATGCGCGTCTCATGTAGCTTCCCGTAGGTCGGAATCGCTCTGCAATTATCGGTCCAATAGTATTGGAGCAAATTCGATGCAAACAAACAAACAACCAAATCATTACTCTTTATAATATTAGTATAGCTTAGGTATAAGGGGTCCGATGGCGTAGTGGGTTTGCGCATTCGGTTTGAATTGCAGTTAAATAAGTAAGTAAATACTGCACAACAAGGACATACATGAATACTTATTTTACATAAATAAGTACAAACAACAAACTCATCGCTAGCCAGCGATTTCTTCCAGGTAAACTAGCATAACATGAAAAATAGAACAATAAATAGCCGATTGTGCATGCAAATAATAATAATTTAAAAAGATCAAAAACAAAAGAAGGACCGTTTAAGGGTACGAATAAAATGCTCAGACACAAGCAACAACCAGAGCGCGAGAAACGAGAAAAAAATAAAAAAATAACATTTGTAAGGACCGTTTACAGGATGGGTGACCAAAACATTATTATTTTGAGCACTGTGCACAACACTGGCATAATGCTTAAGCCGTTAGTCCTGGCTGCATCAGCAATGTTAACACCCACCGATCCGCATTAAGCCCGCGTAGTGGGTTATGGCCCATTGATCTTATTCGATTCGTCTGCATTCATAGGAAAAAAAGAATTCTACCAGAATACTTCCCACGCAGACGAAGTCGCGGGCACAGCTACTAGCTCAATAAAGATTTAGTCAATAACTACTGAAGTCATGAGTATTGCACAATACAACCCAAAAATAGTTCATATATACTAAAATATATAAAAAAAAATTTAAGCATATCTCTTAGACCCTTTTAATTTCACGATTGATATCAAAGACGAAGAAACAAAAAAAAAGCACAAAGCTATTTTCAGTTAAACAATTATATTACAATGAGAACAAATAAAAATCTCTGAGTGTCCTACAATCCGGATACCAGAATGGCTGTGCGCAAAAAAGTTTATCCACCCTCTTAATGATTGCTAATACGATAATATGCAATACTTAAATAATCAGATTCTCTCTTAGCAACTGTATATCTAATAATCATAGTCGATTCATATCTCCCTGGCCATATATATAAAGGCTTGGATAAATTTAAAGCAACAACATAGTGTTTATCTGTTACAGATATAGTACTAATAAAGGTGAGTGTTATCGTTTAAAATTTTATTAATTTCTTATTTCATTAAATAAATCCTATCACAATTTTGATGATTTAAATATTTTTAATTATATTTAAACTTTTTATTCTAAGGTCTAGGGACTGCTGGTAGAACCGAAAGTTATATTATCTATGTTTATTTGGACTAGTTTGATTTTATACAAGATTCTTGTTAATATAATATCCAAAAAGGCTTATTTAATTAGAAAGTAAATTTGAATTATTCCCACGATTATATCTTCTAATAGTGTGATTTTTAAATTATCTTGTAGAAGGGTAAAGCTAGCTAAGTAAGTTTAGGTAAAGCTGGAATATATCTTTATAATTTTCAGATGAAACTGTTTGTTCTATTGTCGGTGTTGTTAGTGTCGGCTCTGGTTGCCGCTAACCCTGTCTCAGTACAAGACGCGCAAACTAGAGAGGACAGAGTTGTACAGTCGTAAGTAATATTTATTGATGATTCTCATGGTAATATATGTATCCAATTCAAGCACACTTACTGACTTGGAATGATATAATTATATGATTAAGTCATCAAAGTATTTATTAATATCAGGGGCTTCCTTGCAGAAGTCCATTGCCATAACATTAAAATTATTAGTAAATCTAACAACTCTTGAGCTTGATTTGTGGAAAGTGTACGCGTATATAGGTGTTGCTTGCAAGATTTAGGTATTGTTGATTATGCACTTGTGCTAGTCTTGCAGATACTGACTAAGTTACAAGATATTGTAGTTTTACCGTAGTATTTTTCAGCAAGTTTCATTCTGGATTTCCATTTTGGCCACAGAAATACATTTTTATATATGAGAGTAAGAAAATTTAATATATTTTGACTAATATCTGCGATCCTACGCCCAATAAACAAAATAACTGAATGCCATTTCAAAATAACTATTGAGCATAAAATTTAATATCTTGCGTCCTCTAAGTATTACAGCTATTTAGTGATCCAAATATATATATTTAACTAACTTACCGCCATCGGTTTCACCCGCGTGGTGCCTAAGGAATTTTGAAGGGATAATAATTAATTATTGAGCTTTATGAAGTACGCGAGTTAGCAAGTTAATTTGTCTTTTAATAATTTTACAGCGGCTCTTTCGAAGGATGGCTCATTCTTCCTATTCAATAAGAGTTGATTTCATCCATAAGGAAGGCCTATGGATGAAATCGACTCTTATTGCACTCTTACCTCTGCAGTAGAGGCATTGAAAGGCTGATGATGATGATAAATTATTAAGCAATATGAAGTTCGCTAGTTAGCTATTAAATTTTTGTTTTGTTTATTTTACAGCGGCTATTTCAATGGATGGTTTTCAAGAACCATAAGGTTGGGTATTCAGGAAGACTATGTCATCACAGCATTCACCATCACACGGACAGCTGGAGTAGCGACATGGGCATTGATGGATGGTGGGATCGGTGCCAATTTCATGTCTATCTATGTAATGCAACCTCTTGTCTTTCCATTGCCGCCAAGTTACAGGTTTGATTTTGAGATTCGAGGGCAGCCACAATCGTCTTCTTTATAACAGGGTCTGACCTTTTTCATATAAGTGATATAGAAGTTTTGTCTGTAATGGGTAAAAAAAAAGAAATTCTATTTAGTCCGTCAGTCATGTAGTGGAAAAATATTGGGCACGTATTTTTTTGTTTCAATTTTATAAGAAATGGCTTATATAAAAGGCATTAAAGTTAAGGAGTGGGGGTTCGCTACGTCACAACTATGGAGAAAATGTACAAAGACGTGCAATAGGGCGAACTCATGCGACATTTCCACTTAGTGTATTGCCGTTATTAATCGATACGCAAAAAAAAATACGTGTTTAATATTCTTCTTTTATCTACCCGACGGACAGACAAAAAATGACACCATCCCCATTCTTATAATAGAGGAAAATTTGATATTACATTTATATTCACCTTTGTACTTCTGTTTTTTTTTTTCCTGTTTACGTCAAACATAATAATCCGAAAAGATATTTATAAACATGTTGTTCTTATGATATACCTACTGCACCCGGATGCTGATGCTATGTAAAATGTTCTATTAACGATTTGTACTAAACGGTACATGAAGGCGTGTATATAAGTGCACTTGGTGAAGGTGGTGTAAAAATGTTCTGTATAGATAACACAATTACACTTTTCTAGGTCTGGTGTATTCAAATGATGTTGAATCTGAAAAACCCATTAATATTTATTGTATTTATCGTTCGTCGTTATTATAAATTATGCATATCGCGGGTACAGAGTATATTGCAGGTTTCAAGCCAATCTTTTCTAATAAAAGGATATAAGTGAAACACTTTTTGACATATGACAGACAGTTATGTTTATTTTCATGTCTCCTTAAAAGTAAGTCTATGGATTGAAGCCCACGACATATATGTCGACTTTAGAAAGCAAACACGTAGTAATCCATAACTATAGCTATGATTTTTTGTTTAATCGATTTATTTCAACGGCATTATTATAAAATTATTTTAAAATATTGTTATGTGGTTATGACATTTTAAAAATATTCTCTGCTTATAAATACGTAGTAAGTGACATAGGAAATATATGGAACTGTCATACGGGATTGCCGAAAAGGCTTTTTAAAAAAAGAAACAAATATTTCACTCGCGACGATTTATCTATGATATCTATATATGCGAGGATTAAGGGATCCTAGACTACCGCCCTGGATGGGTATTGAAATCAGACCGAACTAATATGTAAGTACTACTAAAGAAGCTTTGAGAAGAGACTGCTGACTATGCTTGGCATTTGCTATAAGCCTAGCTACAGAAGAGTATAACATCTCCCCCTTTAAGAGGAGACTTGAGGTAGATATTTTCTTATAAATAAAATAGAAAAAAAAAATACAACTAAAGTAAAATAGTAAATATAGAGTAATGTGTCCCATATTTAAAAATGTGTAGTGTAGGTGTGTTTTTATTATTTTCCAATTCGGACAAAGATTTCGTTAATAATTTGTTTTCTAAATTAAAATCGTCCAAAATAATAATCAGAAAAGATGTTCTGTAATGTCTTATAGGGGACACATTATTCACTAATTTATTTATCTTATACATGTTACAACAAGTGTCGTTGGTTAGGTTAAAATTTTGGAAAATGGTTAATAGGCGACGTAATATTTAAAGCGTATCTAGGAAGTAATGTAATACTTTTACAATATCCAATACAATATGATGGAATTGTGATTATACCTGTGCCTAGAATATTTGTTTCATACAAACTCGAGTTTAAACAGTCAATAGAAAGTTTGTTAGGTTCGGATTGGATATAAATCCACTTATTGTTTGTTAGTGGTTTCCAAATTTCCATACACACTTTTCGTTTCACACTGTAACGGTTTTACACTTATCACTTTTGCTAATAGTTCACTTTCACAAATCGGTTTAGCAGCGGTCGCATACACGTTTTCAATATCACTAATAAAAGTTTTACAATCTTTTAAAGGACAATGTTCAGCCCCCATACATTTTTCGCCTAAGAACCTCTAAGCATGTACTATCACTTTTCGTGTTCTAAAGTATCTGTATTTACGTCTAAATACATGTTTAAGTAACGGACACTTCTAAGAAATGTATAAATCAAAAAATATATTTTGGATTTGAGGTTATAATTTTAACAATTTTAGCGCGCGGATAGATTCTTTTTAATGTTTGTTTTACTTGCTTTTTGTAGGGAAATGTATGTCTATATCTTTGCTTTAAATATAGCTAGGTTCTGCAGATACTTACTTAGCTCGATTTAAAAACAGTTTCGGAGCTTGGATTCCAGGTTTGTGGTTACTGGTTGTTATCGAGATGTCATAACTGACATTTAGTAAACTTCACTATCTTATTGCTTACGAAATCAATCTACAAAAGTCTGCATGCCAGCAACATAGCTTTTTAGTGGTGGATATTTTTTAAAATCGGTTATAACCTAGTTTTAGTTTATTACGACTTATAATTAAAAATAATACATCACAATTTTATTAGATTTATTCTTTCTTAATATTATATTTAGCTTATTTATTTTAAAAACAATATATTGAAAAAAAACGCACTTTTAATAAAAATAAATAAAACTATACTTGATTCAGTCATATTATGCCTAAGGCATCAAAGTAACCATGTCCAAAACCGTAAGATAAAAAGTGCAATATTATGAGGTAAGTGCAAAAGTACAAACAGGGATCGTTAAGACGCTATGACATATTAATAGGAAATATTGATTTTTCTTCTTGTCAGTTCACTCATTAAATTACAATCAACACATTAGTTTTTGTATATTAATGAATTATATAGTCAAAAGAACTTTTAAAGCTTCCACAGCTAATAATATACTATTTTTTTGGATTCAATAAATGTTTTTTTTCTATGTATCTTAAGTAATTTCCTTTATAAATAGTCTATGAAGAATATAATGATTAAGTTTAATTTTATTCAAAAATTATTGATATTCCGCCCCAAATTTGACCAAATACTGCCAAAACCACCAATCTAATAGCTGATATCTAATTTGAAAATTATTATTATGTATAGGTATTTTCTTTGATTCGTTGTTTCGAGAACAATTTAATATATTTATGTAAACAGTAACAAGTTAGTACTAACTCACATTAGTGTTTAATTAAATTTGGTTAATATATCGTACCTACACATGTTTATTTGGGCGTAAATTATAAATCTCGCGAATGTTGTGATGAAAATCATATTAATATTTTCCATAAGCGTCGAAAAAATACAATAAGTAACAATCATATTAAGTATTTAATGTATAAATGCCACCGTAGATTAAAAAAATCCGTATTTGACGCTGCGGCGGCAGAATAGTATTCTCCTCAACACACGAACATTTCAAAATTTACTCAAATTAAACACTGTTCGATGCTAAGTAACAAAGAAAATAATTTAGTAGATGTCAATTAATGATTTATTATCATACATAATTATAACGCCCCATCAAGACTCTTTACTGCAGAAAAAGAAAACGACATGGACACAAAAATAAATATTTTATACAAGTACCCACGTAGAAAAGGCGGCTATATAGCTAGCCAGCGATTTCTTTCAGGCAATCTTGCATATATAATTTGGATTTGCATTAAAGAAATAGAACTTGTAGATGAATTGTAATCAACTGTATCACATTGGTACTGTTGTGCAAAGAATGCAAAAAATATGGAAATCAGGTAATTTTTGGCGATGTCACTAAAATTAGAAGTTCCCAAGAAAGAAATATTACACTGACCGTTGTAGACCAACATTATTGTCCTGTATCATTACACGAAAGTAACTCCAAAATGCCGTTTTACAGATTTTCGAGACAACAGTTACTGATTAAATTATTAGGTGCTTTGCCAATAGTTGGTAAACGGGTCCATTTAGGGACATATTTATCAAACACTGTTAAGGCTCTTATCAATTAAATTGATAT